CGAGTTTGTTTTTCGTCTTTTTCGAGCCTTTTTAAGTCGAGTTTTTCGATTAAATTTTAATCTAAACTATTGTCTATGTATACTAGATAATGGAAATAGTTTGCCTCTTTATGTTCCAGATATGTTAAAGATTTCAATGACATTCGGATAATCGGATTCCTTTGCATGTGTGTGCATTTTTTTCCGGCTTTTTAAGGACGTAAACTTTATTTACTAATTTAATAAAAATTCGGGAAGCCATTTTGTGTTCGAAATTTTGGATTTTTTAAGCCTTGTTTCCTTCTTTTAATTAACCAAACTTTGCTTCTATAACGGTCTCTTACTATTATACTGTTTTATGACATGTATTTTAACTTTTTTAAAACTCACAAATTGTATTTTTCAAGACATTATTGGGAGTTCGCAACACTTAGTGGTTGTCAACAAAGCCAAGACGAAATGTCGCCAAAGCCAAGGAAGCCATTTAAACGCCCATTTCGTTAAAACGGTATTATTTTACATAAAAATCAAGTGAAAAATTCCGTTTTCTTTGTGTGGTTTATACTAAAACAATTAGACAACTCAGCCTCGTTGTCTCTGAACGAATAGTCAACTCGGCTTCGCCTCGTTGACTATTCGCTCATAGACAACTCGGCTTCGTTGTCTAATTGTTAAATATATATATATATATATATATATATATATATATATATATATATATATATATATATATATATATATATATATATATATATATATATATATATATATAACTAAGCTTGCCACACTCATCAGGTGAATGATGATATCGCGTATTTACATGATGTTATAACCTATAGGTAACTTGAGCTATTATATAAAAATGTTTGACGTCATCAGGAAAGCGTAAACCTATGTCTGTAACCTGAGCTATTGGCTGCAAAGCAGGAATTTTTTCTTGTGCCTACGTGCGGATATTAGTTCGTTTCTTGAGTTCAAAGAGCTTAATTTGGGATAGTAAATTATAATAAACTTTTCGTGCAGGCATAATTTGCAACGTATTTGAAATGTAAGGCCTACTCAAACAAAACAAAGTTTTTTTTTCGCCTGAAGATCGCTTTGAAAGAAGCGTGAAACACAGTGTAGCGACAAGAATTAATTATATATATATATATATATATATATATATATATATATATATGCATGCATGCTTGTTATAGAAATAAATATATAACCGGCACTTTGCAAGCATTTAAAAGTCTGACTATAGTCAATTCACGACGATATGAAGTCAATTCACGACGGATTTACGAGTATATGCAGCACCCTGACCGTGCTAGAATTTGTCTGACTATAGTGTGGTTTTCTTATTTATTCCTTATAGGATCAAGTTTCGCAGTGGTGTTGTTTAACAATACCAGTGGTATGGATGATCATACAAATCGAACAGTAACGGAAAGATATCTGCAGTTGATCACTGAGTTCTATTCATTTGTGGACCAGCTTAATTTAGCGGATCTGAAAATCATATTAATTTTTGTAGCTATTTGTACAATTTTGGGGAACACTTTAGTTTTTGTGGAAATCTGGAGAGAAAGAAGTCTCCATCAACCAAATAAATATTTCATTGCTTGTCTGGCTGTCGCTGATCTTTTGACTGGTTCAATTGTAGCACCATTGAGGGCGTATCGAGGCAGTCTGGATGTTGAATCGCGACGTACCATGTCTATCGACCTATGTCGTTTTATGGTGTGGATAGATACCTTTGCGTTTGCAGCATCTATTTATACACTGACATTCATCAGTTTTGACCGATATCTCACGGTCAAGAAGCCACTTCAATATAGATCGAGAATGACAACATCCAAATCATTGAAAATAATCTTTATCATTTAGTTGATTTCAACTGCCTTTGCCATTTATTCCGCCAATCCTCTTTCAGAAAGCATGGGAATCTTGTTAATAGGCAACAAATATTGCTTCCCTTCCAATTTTAATAAAAATAAAGTATTCTATACTTTTACAGGAGTAACTGCATTTTTTCTACCCACCGTGGTCATACTGGTTATGTACGCTCTCATTTTTGTTGTCGTTCATTAACGCCAAAAGATGCTGAGAAATGGCGAACTGGGTCAAATCTGCAATGATCAGAACCAACGAAGTGTATTTCATCAAGATCTGAAGGCTATCCGAATGTTATTGGTCGTCGTGAAAATTCGAATGAGTCGGATAGCAGATCATTGAGCGACCAATTGAGCGACAAGCGTCGGTCTCTCATAACTGAAAAGGTACTATTTAGACTTCCTTATTTTAACAGCCTATGCAATCCAATAATCTATGCCTGTATGGACCAAACGTACAGAGCGGCTTTCAAAAATCTACACGTGTCGACCAAGCTCAACAAGACGACAAGCACCTGAGGCAATAGAACGACCTCCACAGAGAACAACATAAGACAACATTCCATTAAATTAATATACGAATACCGGATTTTGAGCGGCTAATCTGTATTATTACTGAAACTTGGTGTCCGGAAAACGTTTAACGTTATATAGGTCGTTGCTCTGAAAGTAAATTCGGTTATAACATGTGTTTATAAAATGCCGCGCTAATTGGAGATTTATAAACTTAGGATTCATATTTCTTTATTTCATATAGCTATAGTAGACAAATTTAGAATTTTGTTTTTAGCGCCAAATCGTGCTATATAAGTCTGTTGCTAAATATAATATCAAAGTTGTACGCGCAGAAAACTTAACATAAATACAAATATAACTAAATAAACATACGCAAGCAATCATCTCATTTAAAAAATGCAAATTTTGTTTTCAAACTAACGCCAGAATAAACGGCAAATATCTTTTCAAAATAACTTTTCAAAATATTTTTCGCCCACAAACAATAGCAAAAATGTCAGTATAAACGCTTACTTTTATAAAAGTTACTTTATAACACATTTTGTTTTTGAGCATTCAGCGTTTGAGGTGAACAATTAGATAGGTCAGTGGCGAATGCTCTTTTTATGTATTCTTTTGAATCGGAATGAATGGTTCCATATTTTTACGATCTATACCATCATACAGCCTTCCTTGATTCTATGATGTGTATCGTCATGGAAGCGCGCCAACCCTGCTTTGAGTATCACCCCATACCAAGAACTCCCTTGACACTAACTGGGTCATTGCCATCCCCTCTGCCCTAACGGTGGGGCGGTTGACCGCCAACAACCCAACGCTGGCGCGACCAACCTCCTCTTAGAGCTAGAGGACGTCACCTTTATGGGGTAAAGTCTTGTGGTGCAACAGTTAATTAGATGCAACCTTAATAAGGAGCAGCTGCATGATGATGTACATGATAGGAAATAAGAGACCATGATGACTGTCGAGAAACATGTTTTAATATTACGGCTTAATCAAAAAGGTACATAAATTCCGTGTTAACCTGATTTAAATTTAAATCACAGCTCTTTGCCAATCAGTGGTAGCGCTTTACAACTAATCCTATTTGTTTATCAGCTACGCTAAACGGCTGATGAGCTCGATTAAAGGCATATGGGCTTTCACTCACATAGACCCCAACCAATCTTTTCAAATGGAAAGAGGCGGTTATCGTGGCATTGCAAATAATCCTGCAGGTTGATGTTATTATATTCTGAAATTCCAACACATGAGCCGCTGTGTGGTACAGATTATTGCAGAGTGGAAGACTCCGTGGGTAACATGTTTAAAAGCAACAGTTTTTAAACAACTCGAAAGTTTGCTCTAAAATATATCCGTGATGCCTTGCCCGAAGATGATAAAAATGTAAAAAATGTTACGATTCTGCAAATAATCCAGGCTGACCTGTATGTATTTAACTCTGCATTAAGATATGAGGAACTTTGTTCTATACTGCTGCGGAGTGGAAACCCCTACGAGCGGGTAAATTTTTAAAACTTTAACAATTCATAAGTTATGAAATGCAAAGCTTATCATGAATGAGATCACAAACAGCGCACGGACCAATAAAATGCTCCAAACAAATTATGTATAATCTTAAACATGACATATATGGGCCATCCTCGTGCGTCAGGCTAATTGTTGAATTAAAACGATACTAATAACGCACGAACAGCAATATACAATTAGTTTATGGTTTCCGTGTTTGAATGGTCTGATGCAAACACGCGGGAATTAATGTTACGAGAGTTAAAAAAGCGCGCGAAATCACGAACCGAAGGTGAGTGATTTTGCACGCTTTTCTTAACACGAGCAACATTCCCAAGTGTTTGGATCAGGCCATCCAAGCACGGAAACCATAAAGTAATTGTTTTATAAATAACAACTTTCCGTTTTAAAATTTCACTTTAAAAAACTTTCACTTTAAATTTCCGTGTTTGGATGGCCTGATCCAAACACGGGTATCGACCAATCAGAGCACGCGTTATATACATGTTATTTTATAATCTTCGTTGCGTAATTTGCCTTGTTTTTCATTCCAAAATGGTTGACAAGTGACTGAAAAGCATATTGTTGATTTGTATATAAAATTAATTATTAACGCATGCATATAGATCGACATGTGAGAAAAGTAGCCATGCATGCATGTGTGATTATAACGTGTTAGATATACGTAGATTGATTACCCCTGAGGTGCATACAACCATAACCATATTATGTTAAGATACTTAATTAGTATCTTCTTGTAATTCTTATGAAGTGTCAATAGTGTAATTTAGTCAACACAAGCTGTATGCATAGTTTCAGTTATTAGGCACCGGGTAATTTGCCCGTGATAAGCCGCGCCGAGCTTAAAAAGATAATGTATATACATCCTAGATTAGTTAGATGCTACATATTTAAAGGAACTTTATAATTCATTTTTGCTCAAGAAAGTGTTTATTCTACAAGGCTGTAGAGGTATGTTAACAAACTGTACTTATCATGTTTCGCTCGCTACTCTGGTTTAAATAAATGATTACAAAGCCCAGTCGAATTGTAATCAAGACCCAACGTTTCGACACTCCAGTCTAGTGTCTTCATCAGGGGTGATCTAAAACTGCTATCGTGGCTTCTTAAATACCCAAGGGATGACGTCACCTGCCAAGAAGATGCATATATTCTTCTGGCAAATAGGCGCCGTCATCCCTATTCAAAGCATGATGGCTCATATTTATATGCCACGCTTCTAGGCAAAGTCTTTGACCATAGCGATTGTTTGTGGTAATTACTTTAGAGTTTTCCCACGCAATCTCGTGTTTGGTGTAACATACATGTTCGGCTAAAGCTGATTTCCCTTGTCTAAAGTTGAAACAGCCTTTTGATGCTCTTTTAGCCGTGTACCAAACTGGCGTTTAGACTGACCCAAATACTCTTTGTCGCAGTCACCGTATGGTATAGAATATATAGCATGAGTCTTCTGATTTTTTTCAACAGGATCTTTTGGCTTTGCGAAAATATGGCCTAAGGTCAAATAGGGTTTTAAGGCAACCTTAATATTACAATTACTTAAGATTCTCTTGATTGGTTCTGTGACACCTTGAATGTATGGAACTATTGCAAAACCCTTAACAGAGGTATCACCCTCGGAGTTATTTTGGTTAAAAGAATATATGCATCTTCTTGGCAGGTGACGTCATCCCTTGGGTATTTAAGAAGCCACGATCGCAGTTTTAGATCACCCCTGATGAAGACACTAGACTGGAGTGTCGAAACGTTGGGTCTTGATTACAATTCGACTGGGCTTTGTAATCATTTATTTAAACCAGAGTAGCGAGCGAAACATGATTGATATACCTGGTTGCAGTGAACGAACAAACTTTATAAACTGCACTTAGTTGCTGGTCATTGCGCATGCAAGCAGCTTATTGAAATACTAAACCTGAAGCGTTGTATAAATAAAAATCATTGTATAATAAACGTATTGAATTTCGTCAAGTTCAACATTATTTGTTCCTTATCAATTATCAAGAAACTAACTGTTGAAGGGATTTTGCAGATGAAAATTTTCGCATAGAATTTTAATAGGTTTATTAAACTTAAACAGGAGCATGAGCAGCAGTTATGAAAAATGCAATTATATCGACCATCTTGCAGGAATCGAACCTGCGGCCCTGCGATACCGGTTCAGGACTCTAACCAACTGAGCTACAAAGAGACAGTTGCAGAACTCTAACCACAAGTTTATTCCTTCAGCAATTAGGGATATCGAGTGAGATGCCCAATATCCTGATATTTACTCATACACCTTACATTAATTCAATTTGGCAGTACTAGTGCATAAAATCGTGGTTAGAGTGCTACACCGGAATTGCAGAGCCGGAAACTTGATTCCTGCCAGAGGGGCGATAGCTGCATTTCTTGCAACTGTTCTTGGTTAGGTGTAATGAATGTATGAAAATTCCACTCGAAAATTTCCATCTACAAATCCCTTCAACAATAAGTTCTATCGAGCGAGATGACCAAAATTCTGGTATTTACCCATACACCACCACATTGCCATCCAGGGGCGGGATCCAGGGGGTATCGAGTGTAGCTCAAGATACTGTCAGATTTTTCCGATTATGCATACTAAAATAGTTTTGGGGAAAAATTCAATATTAATATATTTTCACGCAATTCATTTCTGTTTACAAAAATAGTGAAAATTTGAGTTTACTAAGATGAACGAGGGCAAATTCTTTCGTAAATTTTAAAATTCACAGCTCTAAATGTAACATTAGACGTGTTTTTAAAGCATTGAATTACTTTCAACGAAGATGAGACGAGAGCTTTCCGAAGGCATAACCCGAGGTTACGTAACCCGATCGGAAAAATGTTTTTAAATGCGTCTGCGGTGTTCTGATACGGTCCGCGGTTCAAATGTTACTAAAAATAGTAACTTAATGAGGTATTTGGATACCTTGGAGGGTATCCAGCCAATCACAGTACGTGTATCTATGACGTCGAATACCCTCTGATACTGTGGCTGTATTTTGATTGCGCAAGAAACGAAATAATCGTGAACCGCTCGGAAACTTCGTCTCATATTGCTAACAGCCGCATTTCTTCTAACGTAACTGAGACACTGAGTGAGTGATGGCCTTACATAATTTCAGAAGACGTCCTTGAAATAACACTTTATAAATAGTGTATTGGATGCCAATGGACAACTTGCATGTTAGACTAAATTTTAATCTAAGTAAAGAGAAGGGAATAAAACACAACAGTTAAAAAGAAAATAATGAAATTAGTAAAATAGCAAAATTTGGTTGCGAAATGTTGTAAAATGCAGAAAATATAGCCTTGCGAAGTTTGCATGTTTTCAGTATATTTGTATTACGTGCGGAAATTGTTACCATTTTCGGCTCGAAAATGGTAACAATTTTCGCACGTAATACAAAATGACTGAAAATTTCAAACTTCGCAAGGCTATATTTTCTGCATTTTACAACATTTCGCAACCAAATTTTGCAATTTTACTGATTTTAATAAGTTCTTTACGGGAATTTACTTTTCTTTGCCTAAATCAAAAATTTATCTAACATGCAAGTTGTCTATTAGAACAAGACTATTACGAAAAGGATATGTCCGAAGGGGCCGAAGTTATGTTCGGCGAAAGGTATGGCTAGTTTACATTGTTCGAGAAAATTGAGTAATATAGTGAAATATATGATATTGCTTGACCTCTCAAAGTTCATAAATCGCTATATTGACTAAAACTATCGTTAGGAATTAGGAGATATTCTTTCAATGAACCGAACGGTAGTATTTTTGTTTTCATAGCATTCGCCTAACCGAAGATATTAATCTGTAAAGTCATATTGCGGCATTGCGCGTGCAATATGTTATTAATTTAAATAGGGACCGGCGGGGAATATTAAATATACTTAGTCGCGAAAGCCGACTTTTCTATGTCAAAACGCCCCCGGCCACGTTTCATGAAACAGAAACACTGATACCAAGAAGAGTTATTGTGTGTTTTTTTGTTACTTTGTGTTAAAATATGACCTTGTTATGGCCAAATTTTAGGCCAGAATCATGGGCTCAGAACGCAGGAAATGGCATTTCCGGGGTTCAAATTTCAAAAATTTTCCGGGGGGGCATGCCCCCGGACCCCCCTAGTAATGCGAGACCTAGGAATATGATACGGTCACATTTTAAGCTAGATCCGCCCCTGCCATCACCTTAGTATTTATGCATAGACTCATTCATTCTTTTACTATCAGTTATAGCTGCTTTCATGATTCAATATTGGTACCATTGAATGAAAGAAAGAATGAAAGGCTGAATGAATGAAAAGTACTGCGGAATTTTTATGGAAATTATTTTCATCATCTCAAATTTCGCTGGCTTTTAACAAGCTGCCGAAGACGCTAGGGACTTGGGTTCTACAGCGTCTAATAATCTGATTTTGGACACAAATGAGTCCATGAAAAACTATTATTACTCGACAATAACGTGGGCAATGGAAATAGAGGTGTGCGTCGGATCGGATTGACCTCTCTCAATCCGATGGTTTGTCTAAGTTCTCAATCCGAATCCGATCCGATCCGAAGATGAAAAAAGTAATCCGATCCGATCCGAAACAATGTTTATAAAATCCGATCCGATGCTAAAATTCGTAATCCGATCCGATCCGAACTTAAGTTGTGTACGCTGTACAGCGTGCGTTAATTATTATGAACGTATTTTTTCATGATCATAAACGATATATTGGAAATAATGAATTTCTAGCAAAAATAAACAGATACGAATCCGATAAAAATTGCAGGGCGATATCATCAGGGCGATACGATTTGAATAGCCGAGGCCCGAGGGGAGATTGGGTGGCATAATGGCATTCGTTATTCGCGAATCGCGATTTCGCGAGCGAGCAAAACGTTACTTTGACTTTGTAGTTTGTAGTTTGTATGGACTATATGGATTATGGAATTACTTTTATGCTCAAAGCCATTGTGAATTCTGATGCCATTTGTAACGTAAAAAGTGGAATACAGCTGCAGAATATAGAACTTTCTCAATTTGTAAAAATATTCGAATAATTCGACGTGATACAAGAAAAATCAAATCCGAACCGATCCGACAAAAAACCTGCAAAATCCGATCCGATCCGACAGAAACAAAACGAAATCCGATCCGATCCGATCGGATCGGATCGGATTCGGATCGGATTCGCACACCTCTAAATGGAAATAATTAACGTGGCAGCTACACGGATTTTGAGAATTATCCAGGACATGTTGACGAATCACAAACGAGAATAAAAGATGTATAACAATATCACTTATTATGTGCAAGGACTAATGTTTAAAATATTTTTAAAAACCCACATATTTAGAACAGGAAAACCAACACAGAGAAAAAATAAATCTGATCTACCGCGTTATAGAAATGAGCAAGAATGCAGCTTTTGCCGGATCTCCTATTTAGAGATCTTTAATAGCATTATGTACTGTTTATTTACCTGGATGATAATTCATAGAGTTCAAATTAAACATTATGTTAATGTCTCGTAGCTCTCATGATGCATTGTCCGACATCTTTTGTTGATTATTCAACATTTGAAGTCGTTAAAGTCATTTGAGTTCGTTAGAGCGCTGCATCGGAATCGCAGGGCCGCAGATTCGATTCCTGACAGACGTCTAGTAATAGTTGCATTTTCGATGTTGTTTCTGGTTAAGTCTACTAAACTGATATACAAAATTTACACTCGACAATTCCATTTACATACCCTTGAATCCCTAAATTCTACATAATTACTATTTACTATAGTCAGAGTTGGGTTACTATTGAGTCGGATCAGGTAATTATTGATGCTTGCACTAACTTGTCAATACATGCATGCATAGATTAGGGGAATAACAAAACGTCATCCAAACCAAGATGACTTATAGATCTAGACTACATTTTAGAATTATTTTCCCTTGATATACAGGTATCTGTATATATAAACATATAGAAAACATAGTCTTAATAAAATATTGAAATTTGAATACAAGTGATGCAGCGTACGTACCTTATTTAGTATGTATGTCTTCAGCATTTATTGTTTAGCTTGCTTTAATCGTGTATACCATGCCATCAATATATTACCCATGCATCAATCTAAGATAGGAAATTACGCTTAGAAAACTTCGACCATTTCTCTCCTTCGCACATGCAATCACATACCGTCGATACCGATGACGAGGAAAATGTGAAAGATACCCACTTCACAGTGCAGTTCAGGTTATAATCCTTGATCGTCAATTTGTTCAAATTATCACAACCTGCACCAAAATGATTATTCGTCGGGCAAGCTATATACTTAGTTTTCAAATTCAAAACTTTTGATTCTACCTCCACAAATGTCTATAAGGCCAACTGAAGACTAAACGCTAAGATTGTTCAAGCCCGTCGAACAAGGAATTACTTTGTCTTTTCAAAACAGAATCTTAATTATAAGGATTAAGTGCAAATTTATTGACTGAATAATGATAGGATTTAAAAAAGGGAATTGAACTGCATGGTTGGGTTTATTCATTTTCAACAATGAAAACGCTTTGAAGCTCAATACTCCTTTTGTTTTAATTTGACCATGCTAAATATAAGTTCAATTTAATCAATCTTTTATCACACTACATTAAATAATATCTAACATCTCTCCTCAGCCATACTTGAATCCCCGTTCTCTCCGTCCCGCGGTATATGTCTATGATACCATTAAATACTTCATTTAAATATAAATATAGGGTACCTTATCCCCCCTTTTTAACAAAAAATGTCCATAATAATGGCACAGTTATTTTAGTCCTTGAATATACCCATCATTGTGAAATGTTACATTTCATAGTCAATATATCTGGGGTTAGGTCTTCGTAGCCTTTGTGATCGACGAGGAATACAAGATCCAGGGCAGTCGTTTGCGCTGCTTACTTCGCCTCCATTCTCATGCCCTGGTTCTACGTGGTTAGTCTCTTGTTTATCTTCCTCATCTTGATTTCCGCTTTCATAACTGTCATCTACCTTGGGTCTACACTGCTCAAACCATCTATGCCATTCCCCATTTTCGATAGCTTTATCCGATATTACGCCCCTTTCCATAACTGTATCATGCGGTCCGTAGTAACATTTGACGTCA